GTGATTGCCTGTTACTCGTGCGTCTCTCCTGGACTACAAGACCATTGAGAGCAGGGACCATGCATTGTTCAACGTCTCATTGCCACTGCTTATGGTCAGTAATTATGTGCTTTCAAAAAGTACTTGTTGAGTAAATAAGGTTTCAGTGAGATTTAGAGCAGGTTTGGTGGGTATGAGGGAGTGGAGGGGGTAGGTGGATGGGAAGAGCAGTTACCCAGGAAAGGTACAGACTTCAAGCTTCAAAGGTAGAGTCTGGCCAAAGAGACCAGGGTAGGGCCAACCAAGTGGTTGCTGAAGTGGAAAGGAAGTGAAGGTCACCAGGGAGGATGATACAAGGAACTATGACCCAACATATGAGATGAGTGGCACTAACATTGCCCAGGAGAAGTCAGGCACTGGGTGGGGTGGGGAGGAAGCTGTGAGTCAGGCTTCAAAGTCCTTTCACAGATGGTGCTGATGAAGGCAGGAAGGTGCCTTCATCTGATGGCCCAGCTTCAAAGGAGGAGAGGAAAGGAAATGAAAGTAACAAGACATTTACACAGAATCATCACTGATTGGTTTGTCTTGAACATGAAGACCCTGCCTTAGGACCCTGAGATCTGTGGGTTCTGCACAAGAAGGTGGGTGCAGGGGGGAGCCTCTGTGAAGGGGGTTTCAAGATGAAGGGGTAGAGGAATTTCCCAGAAAGAGGTTGTGCCTACAAAGAAATATATTAGTAGAAAGGGCTTTCCAGAAGGCTCTATAGAAGGACTGAGAAGGTGTCTCCCAGCATAAATTCAAGCAGTCAAATGACATGACTCCTTCCACTTGGGCTTCAGAATTTGTTACAAACCCTGGCTCCAGAAATTTCTGCTGTTTTGCCACTGCAGCGGCTTCATCCCAGTTAAGAGATTAATCTGGAATCCTGATCTGACCCATAAAACAAAGGAATCAAACCCCTGCATATGGGATTTGCATCTTTTATTCTGTGGGAAATTGGGTCCTCAGTTGTTTTCGTGGAATGTGAGCGCACTAAAGGCCTCCCTCTCCCTTTGGGGCTACAATTAAACAGAACTCTTGGCTTTAAAACAAAACAAAACAAAACAAAACAAAAAACCCACACACAAAAAATTGCTGTGGGGGTAACGTCCTTATTGAATAAAGTTTGAGAATTAGATAAAACTTGCAGTCCACACACTTGAGACTGCCAGGCACCTCCCTTCCACCGTGGGCGCCTCCCTCCCACCGTTACCGGAGAAAAGCAAAGAGCTCCAGGAACCAGCCACTCCCCAAGTCCAGAGCTTGCTCTGGATTTCTTGTCAGCTTCCGTCTCTCTGAGCGGAGACAGCCCCTAGACAGCTCTGGTTTTTCTTTTTCTTTTTTTTTTTTTTAAATATTTTATTTAGTCATTTGACAGAGAGAGACACAGCAAGAGAGTGAACACAAGCAGGGGGAGCGGGAGAGGAAGAAGCAGGCTTCCTGCGGAGCAGGGAGCCCGATGTGGGGCTCGATCCCAGGACCCCAGGATCACAACCTGAGCTGAAGGCAGACGCTTAACGACTGAGCCACCCAGGCACCCCACAGCTCTGGTTTTTCTAATGAGCTTCTTATATGCTTGTCATAAATTGTCCTTGGTTGGGGTGGACTTTACTTTTAACATGCTGCCATTTTTTTAATCTATTCACTAGCAAAACTTGTCTAGTTTTCTTTGTGTGTGCATGTATCGGATTAACTGAGGTTTTGGTATTAAGGATATTAACAAGAGTGAGACTAATCGGCATCCTCCCCATCCCACCCCCAAGTTGGTTGAAATGTAAGATCCTGGACCCCATGCTAGGTCAATGGCATCAGTAACCGCATTTGGACAAGATCTCCCAGGAATGCATATGGATGTTAGAGTTTGAGAAGTGGCCCCAGGGCCTGCATTTACTGAGAACTGTTCCTCACATAATCTCAGTGCTAGCAACCTGGCTCTCCCACCAGCACCTCCTTCTTTCCAGCTCACCCCCCTTCCTGTGCTGATTCCAAAAATCCTTCTGCCCATCATTCCATTGATTCTACCAGTTTATGGGGTCTCTCCTCTACCACCGCCCCCACCCCCCCCACCCTAATTCGCTTACTCCCCTCTCATCTGGCTTGGATTCAACAGCTGGTCATTGTCATTGTTACTTCCTTGCACATACATACCTCTCCTTCCTTTCCCTTTCTCTCTCCACAAAAATAACCCTGGCAGAATTCTATCCCCACCTTCCTGTGCCTGCACTTGCCCAGCAAAACGTGGCCAGTGAAAACACAGACTAACCCTGCTGACCAATCCTGCTTTACACCTTCTCCTCTTCCCTCAAGTTTCCAACACCTCCTCCCTCTCCACACTCCAAACTGATGACCTTGCTTCTTGTTTCCCTGAGAAAATAGAAGCTCTCAGAAGGACAAGATCCCGCGTTCTGGCACCTTGTCCATCTGGCTCCCTGCCTCTATGCCCACACTCTGCCTGCCCTCTGTTACTGTCAGTGAACACCGGCCTTTCTGGTACCCGAGGCCAGACCTTCTCTTCTTGCTCGCTCAAGGACAGCTCTCCAGAAAATGCCCCCCACCCCACATGCCTGCATTATCGAATTTTTCCTCACTACTAATTCATTCCCATCAGCACGCAAACAGGCTTCCATTCTAGAAACAAAACAAAATGAAACAAAACAAAACAAAAATCTGCTTTGACCCTACATTCCCCTCCAACGATCACCCTAATTCTCTGCTCCCCTTCAGAGCAAAACTTCTTGAAAAAGGTGTCATGGTCTCTTTCTAGAGCCCCATTCTTTCTAGGTCTCATTCTTTCTAGAGACCACTCCAAGCAGGCTTTCCCACCCACCTCTGTTACAGTGACGCTCACCAAGGCCACTAGTTACCTCTGTGGTGCTGACACCAATGTCCGATCACCAACACTAGCCTTACTTGAACGATTAGCTGCATTTGGTGGCATGAATCCATCCTCCATCCCTGGTCTTCCAGCATGTGATGCTTTCCTAGGTCTCCCCCTGCCACCCTGGCTCCTTTCCTCAGAATCTTTTGCTGGTTCCTTGTTATCTTCCTGACTGACCTCTCAGTATTGGGGGTCTCAGGCTCATCCCTGCCCCTATACTTCACTAATACTCACCCCCTAAATGATCTCATTGAGTCCTGAGATTTTACCTATTCTGTGGACTCCCAAAATTCTATCTCCAGCCTGGACCTCACCCCCAAGGCCCAGACTTCTGTATCTGGCTTCCTACTTGGGTGTCTAACAGGCAGCTCAAACTCAATATGGCCCCAGATGTATTCTTGAGTTCCTCCCTTCCCATCTGCTTCTGTTTAAATCTTCCTCATTTCACCAACAGTATCTTCCAGTTGCTTGAGAAAACAAAAACCAAAAAACTTTAGAAATCAGCAAAAATCTGTCAGCTCTACCTTTTTTTTTTTTAATAATTTTTTTATTGTTAACCACCATACATTACATCATTAGTTTTTGATGCAGTGTTCCATGATTCATTGTTTGTTCAGCTCTACCTTTTAAATGTGCCTAGAACCTGACCACTTCTTTTTTTTTTTTAAGATTTTATTTTTATTTTTCGACAGAGAGAGAGAGAACGCAAGCAGGGGGAGTGGTAGAAGCAGGCTTCCCGCTGAGCAGGGAGCCCGATGTGGATCTCCATCCCAGAACCCTGGGATCATGACCTGAGCCAAAGGCAGACGCTTAACAACAGAGCCACCCAGGCGCCCAGAACCTGGCCACTTCTATACTCTTCCACTGCTACCACCCAGGGCTGAGCCTGTCGTCTCTTGACTGGATTATTTCAAAAAGCCTTCTAACCTGTCTCTTGGCTGAAATCCTCAGGCCCTTCGGCCTGGTCCTTACAGCTTTTTGAAAGGTCAGCCTATGGCCTTTCTCTGCCGGAAACCCTCCAAATAGCTTCCCATCTCATGCAGAGTGAAAACCAAAGTCCTCACTTTGTTCTACTTGGCTCCCACTCTCTCCTCCTCTTTCCCCCTTCCCTCCCTCAGTGCGCTTGCCTTGTTGGGCTCCCTGGTGTCCCACCTCAGGGCCTTCATCCTGGCTGTTCCCTCTGCCTTTCCATACACAAAGCTCACAGCGTGCTCTTTCTTCGTGAAGCTGTTCCGGGTAGGAGTGCTCTAAATAACAGTATCTTTCCTTCTCTCCCCTCCTTAGCCTGTGTTGTTTGTCTCCATAGCACCGGAAACCATCCAATGTCATATATGTGCTGGTTTACTTATTGGTATGTCTCAGGAGCAGGGACTGTTTTGTTCACTGCCCCGCCGCCTAGAATAGCGGCACACGGTAGATGCTCGAAAATACCCGTTCAGTGACAAATTAAAAACAAAGCAACAGAGTGAAACAAAAATACACACGCACGGCATTTCTACGTAGCGGACTCTGCTGTCAGACCTTTGCAATGCATTATCTCATTCATCCGCACAAGCCTATCGTACTGTATTGCTATACTGTGTGTGTGTGTGTGTGTGTGTGTGTGTGTGTGTGTGTGTGTAAAGGAACCCAGGCATAGGGACATGAAATAGTCCATGGAGACCACATAGCGGAGCTGGAGTTTAAATCCAGGCTGTTGAATCCTATTAATCTGGACCAATCCATCACTTTCTGCACTCACTCTCAGAGGATGCTAAATGAGAGTTACCTGTCCCTCGCAAATATGAAAGAATCGGTTCACACAAAGTCGCCCCTGGCTTTTAGAAAAAAATAAAGCTTTGTTAACAGTTGAGGAAGTGGTCGTAGAAAGCGGACGTAGGATTCCTCCAGGACGAGTGCTGCGACAGCCAAGAAAGGCTGAGCACCAACCTCCAAGCGGCAGGTGAAAGAACCCCGGTCCTCCGCTGTTGCTTTTTCTCTGCGTCCCCTCCCGCTTGGGCCTAGGCGCGGACTCCGGTGTTCCGAGTCCGCCCGGCCGCTGGGGCGCGCCCGAGGCCGCAGGGGGCGTTGCGCCACCGCCCGACGTCGCGCCCTCGGCGGCTGCGCAGTGCGTACGTCAAAGCCGGGCTCGGGCCGGGACCGGGGAGCGGCGCGGCCTGGGAGAGACTGATCCTCCAGGAGCCGGGGAAGGCGAAGGCGGCGCCTGGTTCCGCAGCAGCAGCCGCAGCCGCAGCCCGAGCGAGTGAGCGCAGCAGTGCGGCGGCCGCCGCGGGAGCCCCTGGGCCGCCGTCCGCCCGCGCAGCCGCCGCCGCGGGAGCCCGTCGCCGGGAGCAGGAGCAGGCGGAAGACAACGGAGGGGCCGAACGCCCGAGCCGCGCCGCGGGGACCGAGCGAGCAGCCCGAGGCGGCGGCGGCGGCCGAGGACGGGGACGGCGACGACGCGGAGGCGGAGAGGGAGCCGCCCGGCCCAGCCCCGTGAGTGACCCCCGTCCCGGCCCTGCTCGCGGCGCGGACGCCCGCCCGGCTTCCGCTTGTCCCGGCCCGTCACCGGCCCCGGGCTGCCTCCATTTTCTCGGGTGGTGGAGGCGGCGGGCCCGGTTGGCCCGCCTGGCCCACCCTCCTCGCTCGGCTCGGCTCGGCCCGACCCGGGCCCCTCGCGGAGCCTTCCCCTCCTTGCCCCCGCCGGCGCGGCCCCCAGCGGCCTGCGGCCGGGGCTCCAGGAGCCCGGTGCTCCCCTGCCACCCCTCCGCGGTTCTCCGGCAGGACAGGCGGGTGGGGGCGTCCGCGGGAGTCGGGTGGGCAGGGAGGTGCAGGCCGGGCCAGCTGTCACTCCCACCGCGCAGGGGCTCTGGCCACCTCGCTCCTGGCCCCTGGTAAACTTCCTGTTATGGGGAGGCAGACAGACAGCATCTTTCGGGAAAATGCCTAACCGATTTCTGGTTAGGAATTGTGCGGCCGGAGCGTTCCCGAGTTCGGTTGAACCAAGCCGAGCCCTGCACTGCGTGCAGGCGCCGTAGTCGGTCCGCGCCGGAGGGATTCAAAGGTGAACCGGGGCCCACGGTCCCCACCTCCGAGGAGCTTACGCTCTAGTGTGGGAGATAAGACCAGTACACAAATAACCTCGATACCAGGAAAGAGGTGATAAGTCCTGTGAAAGAACTACAAAGTGCTAGAAAGGCACCCAGGGATGACCGGACCGATCGATCACTTCCGCCTTGCAGAAATCTGCAAGACTTCCTGGGCCTGGCGGTGCCAAGCTGGGTCTTGAAGGCCCGATGGGGTTTGGGAGAGGACGGATGGGGAAAAGACGGTATGTGGAGGGGCAGCAAACTAGAGGACAAAGATAGAAAGGCATAGTCCAGAAATAGTGGATCATTCAGTTGCCTGTGGCCATGTTGGGGAGTTAAGGGTAGGCTAAAGAGGTATTGGGGGCCCAGATCCTTGAATACTGTAGAGGAGCTGTTTTGAGTGGCATTCTAAGGTAAACTTAGAGCTCATTACTCAGTGACTCATGAGCCCGGAAATGTAAGCTAGGAGATACTAAAGGCGGTCTTGTGAAAGAAAGCGAAGGAGGCCCAGTAAAGAGTTGACATTCTGTGCCTTGAATATAATGCAGTTTGAGATCGATTTTGACAGCTACGGATAAATTCATGTCCAGGCTAAGCAAAGTACCTTTTGCAAAAAGCTTCATTTAGATATCATGCTCTTAAGAGGTAATGGAAAGATGTGTGTAAACTAAGCTCTTCTGCTCATAAGGCAGTTCCGTTGGTGCGGTTCACTAAAATGCATCAAAACTTCTCCCACGGTGTATTAGGTGGCTACACTTTGGAATTCCTGAGCTGATCATAACTTCTTTGAAATGGCATTTTGTAAAGCAATCTAAATTGATGATTTTTTAAAAATCAGATTGTTACTTACATTCTGGGATGGCAAGTTGGACATAGAACCTTTTTATAGAAAGGTAAACATTTCTTTATTTTTAGTTACGAAAATATAGGAGAGTGAGAAGTGAAAATGTAGCTTGATTTTGTACATTTTTTCCCAAATTACTAGCAGATAATTAGCTATATTTAAAGTCTAAATATATGATTTGTGGAAGCAGCTTAGAACCCATGTTAGTTTCATAAACACTTTTTTGTTGTTTGTTTAAATTACAAGCGAATGTCAACTTTTTTCAGTTAAAAAACTTGTAAAATGCAAGAGGTACTGGAAAATTTTTAAAAATTGTCTTCTGTAATCTTACCACTTAGATTTGGTTGCTGTTAACATTTTTGCATATTTCCTTTCCAGTCTTTTTATGCTTATTTTTTCCTTGCGTGATGAAATAAAAATTGCATATATATATAAATTTTATTAAAATTTTTTGTCATTAAGTATCTTTATGTAAAAATATTTTTACCCAAGTAAAGGAAGTCTTAAATGTATTCTTTTTTTTCTGACAAGGTTGCATTTATCTCAGATAACATGCAGTAGTCATGCTTAATAACTGCTACTGTGGGCAGAACTTTTTCTAAAGGTGTCTTGTTTGAAGTATATTTATTATTTGTAGGATTTAAGTCCTATTGGTTATTGAAGAAAGGCTTTTTTATTTAGGGTGTGTGTTGTCATCAGGTATGGAAGAGATCACGCATCTCTGCTGTATGAGTAGATGTACTTTTTAAAAAGGCATGTACTTATTAAAAAGATTTTCTTATTTTTTGTAATATCTCCCATACACAGTGATACACCTCCCCATCCCACCTTACCCTCCTCTGCCACCCCGCCTAAAAAATAGTCTTTATACTAGGGCTATCCATATAGGTTAACTACTTTTTGATCATGACATTACAAAGATTCAGGCTATATGTAGTTTTTCTATTGGTATTTCTTTAGTAAAATATAGAATTTGGTGAAATAATTTGCTGCTATAACAAAAGGACTTTTCCCCCCCTTTTCAAGACAGTTTACTTTAGTTCATTAACATTTCAGACTGCAGGTTCTTGCTTAAACCAGTTTTTTTTTTCCTCTTGCTTTACATTCTAAAATGTGTTAATGGGGTCTCTGTTTCTGTTTCTAATGGCATATAAAGTGAGACATTGAGTTAGGTTGTATAAATTTTCATAAAGTTAGTATAAAAGAATAGTTAAGTCTAATGAAGTATGGGGTTTGGCTTTATAATTCGGTTCTATTTGACTATTTTTATATTGCAGATGTGTATACCACAAACATCCTTTATTACTTTTGAATATTAACTAAAGTTTTTTCTTTGATCAACGTCTGTAGTTTACGGATTTCTGTAATTACTGCCATGCTTTCCCTAGAGTCTTTTTTTCCAGAAGGGATTGATTATTGATCATTCACAGTCTTTCCGTCTGCCATAAAAATACAGACAAATCCACATCCACCTCCAGCACACAAAATAAAAAATCCAGTGTGGGGTAGAATTTCACTTCAGGTAGTGTCTTCTGGTTGCCTTTCTTGTGGTGTTTCTATTTTACAAATCCACTTTCTCCTTTTCCATTGCTCCTTTTAACTAGGAATTTTATTTTATGGAAGTTGTCTGGTGTTCTAGAAATAGGAATGTGATAGGTGGATTAGTATGGATAACAGCAAAATGTTGGTAAAACTTTGTTGTGTTATAAAATTGGGGGAAAGAAGACCGAATCTCTAAACCTCTAGGTTAGATTGCTTGAGACTTGTTTTATTATTTCTAAAGGTGTAAAGATCTTGTATTTGTGTGAATGCAGATAAAGTCAAGTAGCCTAAAAATTGCATAACAATTTAGTCATCAGTCTGTAGTTTGGTTTTTACTGGAAAAGAAGACTGGTGTTGGGGCCACCCTTAATTAAAGAAGGAACTGAGCTGTATGAGAGTTCTTCCTCTGTTGTCTCATCATTCTGATGCTATCCAAGTGGACCCTAGTCACTGCCCTTATCAGTCCAGAGTATGAAGGCAGAACAAAGTGAGGCAAACATGTCTACTACCAGCAATTGTGGAGTAGACCAGTCTGACAGTAAACGTTAAATGTTTGTTCCGCCTCTGTTTCTCAGGCCTTCCCAGGATTGTGAGAAGAGTTATTACAGGATGGGTGAGAGATGCTAGACTGATAGTGATGAAATGAAGGTTAACAGGTTGTTGCCATTGGCATTTTGTTTTGGGATTTGTGTGTGTACGTGTGTGTGCATATGTGTAGGTATCATTCTTTACCTTACTGAGCCTCCTGGCTCCTCTGTGCTTTTAGAAGGGGTGAGGGGATGGTGGAATTATGGTTTATTAGCAAGTGTGATGGTAAGCTGGCAGAGGAAGGAAGAATGGCATGCAGAGAATTGCAAGAGGTCAGTCAGGTGTGAAGTGGCCCCAAAGGAGGGAGGTAAAAACTGCCTGGCCATTTTTGTAGGCAGTGTCCAGCACATACCTGTTCGCATAATTACAGTGTGTCTAACTTGAGATTTTGACACTCAAAGTTTGGGTTTGCTTGTTTATATGTATATCCGCATTTTCATATGCATGGTTACAAAGACTGAGAAATCTGGTTTTATATGATAATTATTCCTTTGGAACATTATCCAGCAGATCATTTGTTGATGACTAACGAAGTATGATAATGTTAAAACATCACAACACTTTATTTTGATAAAATGTTCAAGAAACAAAATAATACCTTTTGTAGCTTGATCTTAAGTTGCTACTTTATAACTTTGTCTAATGAACTGTAGCTTGGTCTCATACAAGGAACTGTGAACCTGGTACTCATGGTTCTCTCCCTCCACAGTGGATTATGTATCAGCTGTATTTGGGCACAAAGAAGAAATAGCATGAATACATTTCTTTTTACATGTCTATAGTTAAGGCCCACTCTGGGATTTATTGAATTCTGATTGGCACTATTACTGGTGCTTAAAAGCACTAGCAGACTCCCTACAACCAGACTCCCTAGATCGTTGAACCCTCACCTGTCCTTTGGGCTCAGTAACGTTAGGCAAGTGCCTCCACTTCACTGTAGCTTAGAGTTCTTGCACATCTTGTATATCGCGGTGTGATATCCACCGTATCTGAGAAGATTGTAGAGGGATTAAATGAGTTACTGCATCTAAAGTGCTCAGAACAGGGTCTGGCACATACCAAGTGCTGGACACAATAAGTTTTGTGATGATGCTGATGCCAGACGGTTTCAGGGGAGAAGAAAAGTGAGAATTAGAGACCCTCTTTCTGCGGGTGGGGCACAGGCACACGGTAACTAGAGCGGTGAGTGACGAACCTTGAGCTGTAACTGGTGGGGCTTTCTTCGAAGTGGAGTCACCTGCTACGGTCGTCTGACTTAACTAGCCCCAGGACTGATCCTAGAGCCTGCCTCTCTCTAGTCTTCATCTAGTTTGCTTAAAAGAAATTAAGTTTTATACTTTATGCAGTAATGTCTTTTTTGAACCTTTACACTAACATTTACAAAGATTGCTTTCACATATTAAATGCTCTTTAGCGCATAATCCTTTTTTAAA